CTAACGTAGTACCCGGGCGATGCACAGCTTACAAATCTTAATACTTCGTACTTATATTCATTTAACATAATTTTAAGATAAAACGATTTAATTAGTAATAATGGATTTACTTACATATGTGTCTTAATCATACATTTTTCACCTCGTTAGTGTGTCTTTTTTTTCTTTTTTTTTCTTTTTTTTTTTTTTTGAGGAAGTGTCTTTTAGTATCTAGTATTGATTGATTTGATAAGGTTTTAAACATATTATGAAATATTAATTTCGAATTTAAATATATTATTTAATTTGCTTCCATATCAATAAATGTAATCATGATTTTGTCCTTTTTTTTATTTTTATTTTTTTGGGGAAGGAATGATTTTGTCCATTTTTATGTCACACTAATTGGAAAGTTAATATTTTTTTATTTTTTTTCCAAAATTGACAATTGCTACTAGAGGGTATCATAAATTTATTAGGTAGACATTATGAACTTATTCATTGGCTTATAACATAGTGATAAATGTAACCAATTTTATTATTAAAAAAAAATCCTTAAAAATCACCTCTTAACATACAATAACATTACTAATTGGAGTAGTATTTTTTTTTTTTATGTTATCTTGTATCATTAAAAGAAATGATTTTTCTTAAAAAAAAAATGATATTTATTCCAACAATAAATATTATATATATATATATATACACACACACTAAAATAACAACCATTAATGTCCATCATTGTCCACGTGTCACTTTTTTATTTAATTTTTTCCCTCCAAAATGCAAGGATAATGTCCTATTTTTTTTCCTTTTTAAGCTACCCTGTCTTTGAAAATATATTTCATTTAATTTTTAAAATTTAAATTTTGGGTTTTCTACACATATTATGCTATTTAGTTATTTACGAATTGTTAACAATAGTTAATAATATAATTTAATTGAAATTTCTTAATAAAATATGAAATTATGCACTTTTGAGAATTGTATATTCATATTTAATTTGAAATTAGTTAGGAAAAATGAGGAAGTTATTTTCTTTTTGTATGTGTTAAAAGTCTATAATTCAATTCTTATTTTAAAACCGTACATCGCACGGAGTTAATCTAGATAAAACTAAAACAATCACCATATAAGACACTTGGCACAATTATATGAAAAATTTTCCCTCCGAAATGCTTTTTTTTAGTCTGGATTCCTATGCCTTTTTTTTTTGTTAAAACAATGAATTTGTAGTTTAAAAAAATAATTACTATAACATTAAAAAAAAAAGTTACATTCAAGATTTTTAAAGGTGTACATTATATAAATTTAAAATATATTTTATAAAAAGTTACATAAGTCAACGCTAAATCTTACCTTTATTTTATTTTATATTTATTTATATTTTTTTTAACAAGAATCTTACCTTTATTAATCTGCCAAAACTAGTCAAGTATTTTTAAAAAAAAATGTTTTCCAGGCTTATATTGAGATTCCATTTACAACCTTTATTTTATTCATAATTGCATTTACATATATATATATATATATATATATATATATATATATATATATATATATATATATATATATATATTGGATTATGGGTCATTAAGCCCTAAAAAATAGCATCGCATTTTAATTTGGAATTTTGAATCAGATTCAAATAACTAAATTTTAATTCGGATTAAATTTGATGTTCAAATTGAATTGAATTAAAATAATAATAATAATAATAATAATAATAATAATAAAAAAAAAAAACTAAAACTAAAACATACTTCTATATTTTATTTTGGATTAGATTGGATTTGCCCTTACGCCCAGATCCAAATGTAGTGATACAACTATACAAGTATGTTCAAACAAAAGCTAGGTAGTATGAAAAATCCCTTTTAATTGCCACATTCAATATGGAGCTGAGGTATAAAAAATACATCCCTTCTCAACCCAATTTTCGTTGGATAGTTTAATAACCATATTCATATGTACCATAACTTAGTCCACACGGATTCATTTTTAAATTACCAATGGATCAATGTGGGTGACATTACATGTGATTATATATCGAACAATAACGTGGAAATTAAAATAGGCTAGGTAATGCATGTGTGAAAGCTTTACCTAATTAGGATTCGAACTCATGGCATGCATCCCTATTAATTAATAAGACAAGCTAATAATGTGAATTCAATATCTCAAAAAATCGACTGTTATTTTACCATATCTATGTAGGAGATCTCATGTGATTTTTTTTTATTTTTTTTTTTCAGACGAGGTGCCATTCACTCTTTACAGATTCATTGCCAGTATTCGCGGGAAAAAAAATCTAATGTGATTCTCCTCAATTAATAACCTTTAATTATATGTATAATGATTCAAATTATTACAATGTTCATTTCCATAAGCTAATCCATTTGTCTTATTTGCAAATAGGTGAATTAAGTTTTCCTAAAAATTGCTCATTTTATCAAACTAGCAAAGCCAAAACCCCTTCTCCACAAATTCAAATTACAACCTTCCATGGATTTTAGATACCAAAAATGGTATGGACTTCAAGGCGAAGAAGATAGATTGAGCTCACTTCCGACTTTAATTCGCATCATTATTCTCTCACTCCTTCATATTAAATCCGCTATCATGACCGGTATATTATCAAAGAGATGGTTTCACCTTTGGACTTTCATCACCGCTTCTCGCTTCGACAAATCAACTAGTAAGGCATTTAATTCATCTTCAATCATTAACCATGTTTTAATTTACCTCAACTTTTATCGCCTGAAATCCAAATCTTTGTACTCCTTCTCGATGACCACCCGTACCAAGCCCCCGAGTTTGGTTATTCTTACTCCTTATATAATCGCTACACTAGTCAAGAGACTATTGTGGTCCGATTTTTTTTGGAGATATTACTAATGAAGATGAAATTTCAACCACATTATCACCGTGTCTCTTCCAATGCAAGTCATTGGTATATCTCATTTTGGGCATACAACTTAATATAATTACTTTGCCAGATGAAATTAGTGTTCCTAATCTAAAAATTATTAACATAAGTCATCTTAACGATAATCACGAAAATTTGTTGGCCATTCTGTTTAATTCTTGCCCTTGTCTTAAAGAGTTGAGATTGTATGAATTTTGATGAAGATTTTGATAGTATGGGATGGGGATAGAGACATTCATGTGGTTGTTTCATCATCAAATTTAAAGTCATTGTGTATTCATACACACAATTTGAGGGGAAGAGTTGAGACCATACATGTAGATATTGATGCCCCTAATTTGAAGGTGTTTGAAGCTTCAGTTTTAAGTCACTCGGAGTTTAGGTTTATCCGGGAACCAAGAGAGTTACAAAGTGCAAGCTTAACGTATTCTTTAGAGGCCAAGATTGAATGAGTAGAGGCACATAGTTATTTTGGGCATTTCGCAGTGTTAAGGCTCTTTTGTCGTGTTTTTACTTTGGTAATTGCTTTGAATGGTGATATTCAATTGCCAATATTTCATAATTTAAGACATCTTGAATTTAAGAAAACATCTCATACTTGTTGGAAAACGTAGATACGTTTTCATAATCATGCTCCCAATGTTGAGAAACTAACTATTAGGATGAGCTCAATTGATGAGATATTGGAAGTTATGTGTTCATTAAGTTTAATATCTTTCCTGTAGATACTCCACCTCCGTGCTCGTTGCAACATGTCAAAGAGATAACTACCTGCCTTAAGGGGCTAAAATAAGACCATGCGGCGATGTATTAGTTATTGTATATATTGAATGATGCAAATCCCTTAAAATTGCTAGTTGTTGAGGTTTTTGCTAGTGATGCTGATTGTCAGAGTGTTGTATATATTGTGGATGCTTCTACAGACTTCTTTGTCACGTCGTATTCAAGGTGTTTTGCAACGTGTTGAAAAGGAGAAATTATCTTATAAGGATTTTCATAACAGTTAATTAGAAGAACGCTCCATTGAATTAGAGGAATAAATGTGTACCTTTGTTATGATGTAAGTGAGCTACATAGTAAGAATCATCATAAAAAAAAAATGTTAAAAAAAAAATAGATAAATAGATATAAATACATTTTTTTTTACCTCTTGTTCGCTTTTTTATATAATGAAGATCATGTCTAAGAACACCAAATGTTTTTTTTTTTTTTCCTTGAAACAACTCTACACCTTATTTTTACACCTAAAGTTATTTTTACCGGTTATCAATATATTTATTGTTTAAAATTACTGACTTTTACATTGAAAACTTTTTTTTTATTGTTTCTATGTTATATTCGTATTTAAACTTTAAAATTACTAATTTTTACATTAAATATAAACCTTTTTTTTTTGTTAATAAATTCATGCATTTAAAAAGGTTATAAGTGACATTTAAATATTTAGAGCAACTATATGCCTAGGGTGGAAATTAGGTACAACTAGGTTAAAATCCCGTGCAATGCACGGTTGTTAACTATTTTTGACAATAATATTACAAAATACTATATAAAGTATATAAAAGATATTCAAAAATATTTTATTTGGCTATATATGAAATATAATTGTTAAAGTGGATAGAAAATATCATAAGGTATAAATAGTTTACTTATAAATTTTGCAAAAAAAGAGGAAAAAAAAAAAAGGTAAAAGGCGGGAAATTTTTTCACAAGGTCATGACAAGTGTCATGGAAGGATTTGCTTTTAGTATAAGTTTATGGATGATGGAAGTAGCTAGAATGAGTAGAGGATTATCAAATCAAAGTGCATTTCCACCGCCGTGATATATAGAGCCAAACTCTACAAAGTTGGCTTTGAGCTCACGTGTTCAACTTGTAAAAGCTACTAACCAACTGTCAATTGAGTGTTTCTATTTGCACCCAAAAAAAAAAAACAAAAAAAAAACAAAAAATTCGTACTACGTTTTATTTTGTTGAGTAAACGAAATTAGCCACTTTATATTACGAATAATACCAGTAATCCATCAAATAGAGTTTTTTAAATTAGGTTAAACAAATACAATATAATACTAGTAATTAATATCCAAAAAAATTCAAAAAATTTTGGTTTATAAAAAACAATCAATATACTACTATACATACAAATTTTGACCACCTCTTTAGCAATTCAAGTTGGATCACAAGAATTGCTTGATATGAGATCATTGAAATTGAGTCAAGCTTTGATCAAGTCGAGCTTGGGAATTATTTTATAACATTATGACCCATAATATTATGGAAGAGTGTGGGAGAGGGAGAATTTGAATGGGTATTGCTGATGCAACCGTCCGAGGGGAGAGAAAGGGTGTATGGGAGGGGGTAGGCGAGGATATAAGAAAAATTACAATACGGCAATACTCACTCTAACTATTTATTGGCAAAGATTGGTACCATTATCTAACTAGAAACCCTCGAAATAACTGTCATTCGTAATATTTACGGCTGCATCATGTACTTCTCAGTTAGCAATTAGCAGGATCCCCCAGCCTCCCGCGAAAAAAAGATGGTTAGTGCACTCCACTTATAATTCCTCGCTCAATGGCATGTCTTCCCATCCTCAATCAAGCACAGCCATCTTTTTAGCAGTACTCAACAAGCTCTATGGCTTTCTTCACCAATTGATAACTCGTTGTCTTCTGCTGGACAATATCAGCAGCGACAAAACTGCAAGGCTCAGCATTTCAATTTGATGAACATGTAGACCGGGTTGCAAATAAAAACACAATTATATCAGTATCATAACAGTACAATATCATATACCTGGTATTCTTGCATCCTCTACAACTACATCGTCTTCAAAATAAGTTGACAGTCATCTAGGTACTCCATCGCCACTTTTTAGCACCCAAGCCCCTCCCTTTGATACACATAATTCAGTTGTGACCTACCACAATAAGAAGAAAAAAAAATTAACAGAGATGAATTTAAGCCAGTGTCATAACCAACTTCCTATTCAGAATTTCAGATACAAAGTATAAAAGCACAAGGCATACAGAGTAAGCAAGGCTTTGCCACATTATGGATTTTATTTAATTTATATATATATATATATAAAAAAAAGTTCAAATATTATTAGAAATCTTCCACTGTCAGCAACGCTCATATCAATTTTGTATATGAGTCGAGGTACTAATGTATGTTGAAAGTTGGCAATGCTGAGTTCTTAATCTTAAATTCACATTCTATAGTTTAGATTGATTTTTTTTTTCCCTATGCCAATTTTCCTAATATTTATGCTAACTCCGTTCATTTAATCTTCCCTACTACATTAATGCATATCTCTTCATAAAACCAGACTGTAAAATCATACTTGTATAAGAAATCACTATTGTCACAAATTGGTTAAGCAGGATCTGAAATATTATTTGTACAAAAAGAATAGCACTGACCTTCTGAAATTCAATATTACTGGGCTCCTTTCGAAGTCTGATTTTAGCAGCTTCCATAAATTCACCTTTCTTAAGCTTTGCATTAGGCCCGCTTCCAAGAAAAAGGTCAACAACTAATTTTCTGCAGGGAAAATGAGAGGATTTTGAATCCCTACTAATTGATAGCTCAAAATATAAATGAAATGTCGTCTTTTATAACAGCCAAATGTATGTTACTTACAAATCTGTTAAAAGGGTAGATTTTGTGAGGACTAAACTGAAGGGAGAAGCTAAACAAGTAAAAAAGAATGCCTTTTGATCTTTATTGGCAATGCAAAGAAATTCTTGAGAGTTGACACTGCATATCAGGCTGAAAGGCCAATTCATATATTTTAAAGATCCCCTTCTTGAAAGGTAAAAGCTCACAGGTGGCCACAACGCCCACAAGTCCACATCACCCTAATGGAGGTGGAAGGATACCAAACAAATGGTGAGAATAAGGAGGGGGGGGGGGATCCCCTGTTTTTCCGTTCCCAACTTCATGTCTTTCCCATCCTCGTCTCTCGATCAATCAACCATCAATATTACAGGCATATGCTAACTTAGATGGATGATGCACTCACTAAATTCAGCATAAAAATTTGACAAATATTTTTCCAATGTTACCAAGAGATAGGCCTTTCCAGAAGCCTTTTTCCAAAGGACCATGCACATGGAATACCCCCGATAATTAATGTGATCTAGTGACCATGAAGCTTCATGCCATGACAATTGACAACTTCTCATACTATAGTTCCTAGCTTCAAATAAAATATTATATAATGCAAAAAATGAGAAAAAGAAAACAAATTTATTAGGAATCAACAACCTATCTGAAGAGTGAAGTATGCAACATACAAATTTACTGCTGGCTGGCTGAATGCTGACTGCTGCAGCAAAATCGTTCATACAAGCTTATATCTTTGAAGATCCCTCCCCTAAAGTATCCTCTTCACTACACCTCCAAATTAATCTACGTGATATAGTAAGTCAACACCATTCTAATGCTTGGAACTTGGAAGAGTGATGATTCTTTTAAATATAAACTACTAATCATTTACTTTGGACTGGAGTACACACTTTGATCAGGTCATCAGTAGTCCTGAAATGCATATGGTTATAGAGAATGGATGACTAAAGAGGGAGAAGAAGAATAATGCAAATTAAGCTCCTTATAACTGAACAAATGTCAGAGCTATGGTACTTAGAAGCAATAAGCCAATAGAAGATTGAGTGCCTTGAATTAGAAAACGCAACACCAGGAAAGTGGACAATATCTGAAATTAGGATCGTCAAAATGTTGCAGAACAAAATTGACAACTTTTTTTCCAGGTTCTGCTTTATCAAAATACATGCCATAACAGCTTTGAATTAACATCCAATAATTCAGCTTGCCAGTAAGCAATTTACTACCAAGCCAATTGAACATAGCTCTTAGTCACCCAGTGCCACCTCCAAACACATACTACGTATATGGAAGACAACAGAAACTACATAATAGCTTCAGCTAAAACAGGACAAAAAAAACCTTTTAAAATGATAAGGGTGTCTCTTTTAAATCAGCATAAGTCTTTTGATGCTTTGTCCAAATTTTAAACTATTGTGTTTTGCGCAATTGCAAATTTGCAACAGAGCATGCCCAAAAAATTTTAAAATGTTTGATCAAGTACAACAGTCACCTGACGGCCAGCGGGGTAGGGAAAGCTAGAACTTAAAAGATTATAACTATAGTATACCTCAAAATGCCCCTTTTGACATTCGTTTAGGAAAACCGTCCAAGAAGAGCCAAATTACTCCTGAAAGAAGAAATTGATAATAATATTAGGAACTATTATATAAAATGCATGGATAAGAATTGCATAAAGAAGGCAAGAGGTAATTAATCATAAAATCTAACCTATAAAAACTCTTGTCGAATGTATGGACAACTTAACCGTCAAAGTCCCATATCCCCTCCTTTTCAAGTTCTTCCTGAAAGTAAACATAATTCACTCATTGGAGAGCCCCAAGAATGCTGCAATATTCTAAAGAAGGCATCTTGGTGGTATATTAGAAGATATCTATGCAAATAATTAAAAATATAACATTTAAAGTACATACACAATGCAGATGAAATTTGATCTCGTATATCCAGCCCTACAAAAAAGACAACACATGATAAGATGTGCTCCCTCCGTGTTTGATAAGTGTTACACTTACTAAATGTGGCCGTATTTTAATAAGTGTTACACTTCTTTTTTTGGCAAAAAGCTATATTTAAATGTAATCTCTCTCCTCTCATGATCCCCACCCAAACCCAACACTACTTTTTTTTTTATTATTATTATTTCATTCCTCTCACATTCATTACTTTTCAATAAACTATTAGCCCACTATCTTTCTTTTACAATTTTTTAATACTTCAACTACCCCACTTGCCTCTTATTTTATTTAAGTTAATTAAATGGCCTAAAACTATGTGCTAGTCAAAGTGTAACATTTATTAAAACACGGAGGGAGTATAAAAAAAAGATTCGATCATCAAATTTGAGAAACAATTTGTAAATGATAAAAATAATCAAAAAACTCAACACCAATATTTTAATAAAAAAACTACTTAAATCAAGAAAATCAAACTATTTCATCACAAAGTCTAAACCAGCTTTGTTGCTACATCAAGTTTGATTAACATATCTGATTTCTTTCCAGTTTGTTGACACTCTAATCAACATTTAGGTCATACTTGTTTATCACACTTTTTTTTTTTGACACATACTTGTTTATTACACTATTAACCTTTTGTCATCTCAATTACCATTATTCTAAATACATAATATGTTCTGATTGCTCGTTGTCATAGCAGCTATAATTTGTCATTGATCTGACCAGTTCTTTCCTTCAAAAGAAATCAATGCATATTCTCATACATGGCCATGATACTCGGAAACCATTATACACTAATAAGTAATAACATCAAATACTTAAACATGCCTTGACTCCTGTAGAAGCAATTAACATGGAAATGTCAAGGTCATGAATCCTCATTATCATTAAGATAGTTCAGTCAATGAGCTTTTCACTCCGGTTCGAAATAGTATTATTTAAGGCCAATGGTTACTGTCTTAATGGAAATAAGTAAGCTACAATTCCCAAAAAATTGATACTTAAAATACTGCTCCAAATTGTAAAGTCAATTAGACATTAAACGATCTTAATCAAATAAATAAATAAAACCCTAACTTAAGAACGCATAGAAATAAAATCCTTCTTTTTTTTTTTACAAAATTGAATCAAAGCCATCTGAAACAATTGAATTGAATTAGAACAACTCCAATTTTAAAACGAATTGAATTGAGTTGAAAAAACCCCTAAAACTTACAGAAAACCTGCTTGACCAAATAATAAAAGGCTTGGTTTTTAAAAGCAAAAGAAACAGGATGATTAAAGAATTTATATTACATACCTCTACTACTACTGTCCAACTCTCAAACAAAGGCTGGTGAAAACCCCTCAAAAATATATCCACCAATGCACCCTTAGCCAAAAGAGAAATAGTTAAAAGCCACAACCCTAGCTTCCATTGATAAGGAAATCATACATAAGAGTTAGTGACATGATTATTTTGCTCACTGGAAAAAAAAAAGAGCAAAGTTTCTGTTGATGTTTCCATACCAACAGTTTCGCACATATATATATAAGCACTAACTTCCTAACAGATCCAGCTACCACAGACGAAATGGCATAGCCAGCCAAATGAAAGAAGATGTACTATTTGATCAACAGTTCTGGAATCAATGCCATCCAGATTAATGCCTAAGAGCTCCAAAATTTGATAACCAAATGAAAATGAAAAGAATAAAACAAAAAGAAATACTACCACAAGAAAAAGAACAAAAACGGCTTGAGCCACTTCATGTTACAACATTGATCATGGTCCACTAACAATCTATGGTTTGGCATGATCATCTTCAGATCCAACTGCCTCTTGCTCCAACTCTTTAACTGCACTTACAAGACCTCTCGTAATACCAGGTAGATACAAACCTTTCTCTTTCATTTCTTCCAGAAGCTTCTCTGCTGATTTCCAATCTAAAGCCTTCAAACAAAGTGATTGGATAAGCTTATTGTACTCATCTACATTAGGCTCGACCCCGGAGTCCTTCATCTCACTCAGCAGTTTCACAGCCCTGTCAAATTCTCCAAGGTTGCAATATCCTCGAATTAGTGAATGGAAAGTAGCAGGGCAGAGCTTGGCGTGTTTCCTTTTCGCCATTGATAAGACTTTGCGAGCTTCTTCCATCATACCACCCTTTGCGTAACCACTAATTATGACACTATAAGTATAGACATCAGGTTTCAGTCCCCTAGTCTCCATAAGTTTCAGTAACCTCTTGGCATCTTCCATATCTCCAGCTTTGGAAAGAGAGTTAATGACAATATTAAAGATTGCATTCCCAGGAGTCGGACCTTTTTCCATCATCTCAGCAAACAACTTCTTAGCACACTCAATGTCATTTTTCCTACACAAACCGCGGATGACCCATGAAAACGGATTAATAGCATGTTTACGAACTTCATCAGAAAAATCAACCAGCGCCTCCTGTGCTAAGTCCACAGTTTCATCCACCTTCGATAGACAACTTATCAAAAAATTAACTGCCTTCTGAGGAGGATACTTATTATCCCTCTTGGCAGCAAGATAGACAACATGGGCCTCCTTGGACTTGTATCCTTTGCATAAGAATGATATGATCTCACCAACCTTCTCACTCTCTGGAAGCATTCCAGCATCAAGCATTTTCTGAACAACTAATGTAGCCCAGTCATAAAATGACCTCTTGCAAAGTGCCTCAATTGTAAGATAATAACTGTCTACATTCAGGACGCAGCCAAATTCCTCAAACTTCCCAAATGCCTCATATGCAGCCTTTCCCTTACCCAATCTCGAAAATGCCGATATCAATTGATTAAGCATTTCAGCATTAACAACACCACTCTCTTTCTCACCCATTTCCTTCACCAAATCCCACAAAGCATAAACATCTTTCCTCTTGGGTTCATAATCATTGCAAATAGCACGGACAAGTTCACTTAACAACAAAGTATTACCTTTAAATTCATTTCGACTCGAAACCCATTTGTAAAACCTAATCAAATGATCCCCAGGAATAAGCGGTGAAACGAGCAGTCTCACCACAAACTCCTCATTCAACATCAAATCCATACTATCAAGGCTAGACTCTAATGACCCATCTACATCATTTAGAAGCAAAGACAATACATTTTTCAATTGTTCAAAATCAACCCCAGTAATTTCCTCACTATCCCCTTCTAACTCCTGATCAGTTAACCCAATACTACTCATCTGGGCATCATTAATTTCATCAAAATTAGGGTTCAAACCAAGTTCTTGAGAAGAACTAACATCATGGGTATCATCAAAAACCCCACCATTTTCCAATTCAACTTCCTCAGAAGAAGTGGAATCATGATTCTCAGTTTCAATTTCACTTATTGAAGAAGAATGAGAAAAAAAACCTGTGATTCTGATATGAAAACTTGCTGGGATTCTCGATAACTGTAAAATGTGATGAAATCAAGGGTTTATGGATTACCTGAGATGGTGGGGTTTGGGTAGAAGAAATCAATTTTCGCACAAAGCTTCTGGTGAAGGAAGATCTTGATGCTATGGATCTCCACATCTCTTCTCTCTACTCTCTTTTCTCTCTCCTCTTTCTCTCGATTTCTGCTATGCAACGAAGTTCAACCGTCGGAGTAGGGTTTTTGGAGGTAGTCCTGTGTTAGCTGTGTAATTGAATTGCCGTTTACTTTGGTTAGTGTAAGGGCATTAAGGCCTCTAATCCAAATTTTATTTTACGCGTAAATATGATTGTCGGGTTAAATGTACGCTTTTACCTCTAAATATTTTATCTCTAATTCAATGTGACGAAGTGTTAAATGAGTTGTTTTAAAAAGATGGTTCGGTTTCTATTCAACCTTGAGGTATTTGATTCTAATTTGCTTTATATATAAATTTTCTTCGAATATACGAACATTAGCTCACCATGAATCATGAAATAGTCTATAAAATTGAGGCATGTTCATATGAGCCTATAATTAGATATAATCAAGTGAGTTTTGATTATGATCACATTTGATTATAACAGTTATGTACAAACACAAAGTCACTAAAACCAAAAGATTCATGTTCAAACCGTTTAAAATTTTAAATTGAAGCTAGGTTGTAGAGAATCTTAATAAAGAATTTATACCCAATCAAGTTTGATAAACAAATGGTAGGCAAGATAGACCCATTTTTGGATCAAATTATTGCAAGGTGTAATGGACTTCTACACATTCAGACATGGATCCCAAGCTTTGAGCTAGCACAACTGCACAAGTCATCAACAGGTCGACAATTGAAAGAGCGGAACATCGAAACTTCTTAAAGAAACTTAGAGAGTTATTTTCGACTTTCTTATATTTGTTGTTGTTTTCATAGAAACACTAGGAATTAATTCTCTTTTTGGACCGTTGTAATATATATATATATATATATATATATATATATATATATATATATATATATATATATATATATGAGGAAATTCTAATGTCTACATATGAAGAAATTTGGAGAGAATTTGAGATATATAGGACTCAAGTTGAATAAATATTTTTAATAAACCAAAATATAAATTCTCGTCAGCTTTTCAATTTTTGCCAAATGTTTCATTAAGAATTTTTTGGATTGTCAATTAATATAATTCAACTTGAAAAGCTAACAAGAATTTCAAAATATTTTGGTTTATTAAAAACATTAAATATACTATACATACAAATTTTGAAATTCTCGTTAGCTTTTCAAGTTGAATTATAAGAATTGCTTGATCAAAGATCATCGAAATTGAGTCAAGCCTTGATTAAGTCGAGCTTAGAAATTATATTACTCCCTCCGTTTCTTATTTCTTGCAACATTTGCCATTTTAGAGTGGTTCTCATTTCTTGCAAAAACTTATTTTTTTTCCTTATTTGGAAACTTTTTTTCTGTCAAAATGACCAATATACCCTTAAAATTTTTAAACACATAATGCTACACATAATTGCAATCCATTATAACCTTAATCTAAATTAATTATCTATGAAATCACCCCCAAATAATCAAACCCATTATCTTTCTCTCTCCTCCTTCATCTATCATTTCATCATCTTCATCTATCATAATCAAATCCCAAACCACCCTTTTAGTGGATTTTTGGTTGTTGGTGAGTTAGGTGGTTCGCCAGTTATTTTGGTAGTGTCATGGGTGGTTTTGCTAGGTCGTCGGTAGGTTTTTGTGGTTTTGGTGGTAAAGGTGGGTTTTGTGGTTTGTGGTTTCACAGGAGTGGAGGAGAGTCGTAAGGTTTGTGGCGTGGGTCTGGTGGTTTCGTGGGTCTTGAATTGGTCGTTTTCGGTGGTGTTGATGGGTCTAAATATGGTAGTGTTGGTGGTTGGCAGGGGTGGAGGAGGGGTTTTGGTGGGTTCGCGGGTTTGGTGTGGTGGGTCTAGGTGGTGGTTGTGGGTGGCGTGGGTTCTAGATCTAGGTGGTTTCGGGTAAAAGTGGTTTCGTTGGGTGATTTCGGGTGGTTTCGCTGGTGGTTCTAGGTGGTAGCTTTTTGTTGCTGGTGGTTTTGGGTGGCGTACCCGTTCATCGGTGGTGGTGCTAAACTTTTAGTTGTTTAATTAATTATTCACCCTCCTTCCTTAATTACATTATTTACATACCCTTACTTTCTAATAATTGTGCTTAAAAACTTTTTACTTGGGAACCGTGCAACCCCCTTTGTTGCAAGAAATTAGAAACGGAGGGAGTTTAACATTATGACCCATATTATTGTGGAAGAGTGAGGGAGAGGGAAAGGAAAATTTGATTGGGTATTGCTGATGCTGATTAGGGGATTTTTATCCACCAATCACCGTCTGACAAGTGGACCAACCAGGTTCCGCCACGTGTCCTTCACGAAGGCCAACAGGAGCTTGCCACGTGTCAGTCACAGATACGTCCTCCACGGACCACTTAAGACACGCCACGTGTCCACCCATGTCGAGTGGGACAACCGGCCATCAAGGCCCATTTCAGTCTAGAGGCCCGATCAGCCCTAGGTTTACCTTAAGCCTAGAGAGTTGCACGCTTCCCAAGGCTATAAATACTCGATTAATCCTCATTAATCAAAGAACAAAAAAACAACCGAATAATTAAGAGATCAAGCAGAGAAGAACAGACTTATTAACAACCGGCTAATCTCGCTAACGACGCAGATTACCAACACTAAGCACTCTCACCTAGAGAGATCTCATTACTTTACTTTCTGTATTGATTACTCCTTAATCAGGTACTAACTTGACCGTTGGAGGCGGAGCTCTCAGGAGTCTCCGTTATTTTGTAGGTACAGACGTCCGGTTCCAGTCTCGGAATTGTAACTCTCCCGCAGGACATCAGAAAACCCCGAAACATTTGGCGCCGTCTGTGGGGAGAGTACTTCAGAGATGGCATCCAAGTCTGTACCGACTCCAGAGAGGCGTCCCCTAGACGACCCTCAAGTTCAGTTGGACCATGATACCGAAAGTGAATTTGAAGTTGAAACTCATACAGCTCCAGACGGGACCCTAAGGGCCCGCCGTACCCGTCATACTGAAATAAGGGAACGGGAGTATCTTCAAACAGGAAGCGAGCCAGCAGGCGCACCGCTTGCTCGGCAACAGCCGACTGATGGGTCTGCTCCCATCACAAGGAACGAACTCATGACCTTCATGAGGGACTTCAAGGGAGAGATCCAAGAGTTGATCAACAAAAAACCGCCTGCTTCAGTCAAAGAGCAGTCGGCCAAGAAACCTTCCACTTCACTGAGGAGGAAGCCAGTTCAAGGGCGAGAGGCGACTCCCCATCCTAAATCCAAGAAGCGGGAACCGTCTGCTCTTGATTTCACAAAATTCCGTTACCCTACGGGAAATAGGAAACCGGTTCGTCATATTCAGGCGGACGGGTCAAAGCAAACGTTCACAGATGCTCGGCACCTGCTAGAGCAGAAGAAGAGTGACCGATTATCAGAGTCGGCTTCTACTTCAAATTTTCAGGACAGTTTGCGAAACGCCTCGATGAGGCCAACTCAGTCGTACCATGAGAGTCAGTCAGGCGGCACCTCCCGTCAGTCCGACTTTCATAGTGCCCAGGCGGTACCAAACTTACCATTTGTGCCACAACAACAGTATTTTATGCAGCCACCTCCATTTGGTGGACCTGCAGCAAAAAACGTCCAACCTATGGACTGGCAGCTACGGCTGCTTAGACTTGGTGAACAGCCGTCGGCCTTCTCCAAGGAAATTACTGAAGCCGCTCAGCCGGCCAAAGTAAAAAATGTTTTAGTAAGCGCCTATGATGGCACTACTAACCCGGAAGACCATCTGATGGCATTCACCAACCTGATGTACCTTCAAGGGTTGGATGATCCCACTTGGTGCAAGTGTTTCCCAGCGACTCTCAAGGGAATTGCACAGCAATGGTTCGGCAACCTGCCGACTGGTTGTGTAAACAGCTTCAGGACGCTTGCTTACTTATTTGCCTCCAACTTCGCAATGAACATCCCTGCGAAGAAAACGACCCTTGATTTGGGAACAATTCAGCAGGGTGAAAAGGAGGGGCTTCGTTCCTACATCAGGCGGTTCAACCTGATGAGAATACAGATTCAAGGGTTACCGGATGAGGTAGCTTATACTGACTTTTTTAGAGGTCTCAAAGACGGGTCTACCTTCAAATTTGATTTAGTTCGAAAAAGGGTGGCGACTCTTCAAGAGGCCTTGATTGAAGCAGAAGCCTATATACAGGCGACTGATCTGTGTACGATGAAACAGTCGGACGGGAAGAGGTTCGACAATAGAGAGGGACGACAGAAACAGTCGTCCAACAAGGATGAAAAAAGAAAAGGGGTCTGGGCGGCTGATTCCTCTAAACAGCCGGCCCAGAAAAAGAAAAAAGAATTCAAACCATACTCCCCAAAATATGTGTTTAACAAGGATAACCAGTTTATCCTAAAAGAAATAAAGGAACGGCTCTCAATTGAGAAGCCGCTCCCCATGAAGGGTTCTGCGAGCAACCGGAACCAAGACAAAATCTGTGCTTATCATGATGACATTGGTCATCACACCAATGACTGCATCAGTCTCATGCGATACCTAGACCGATTGGCTGATCAAGGTGATCTTGACACTTATGTCAAGAAAATCTGCGGGAAACACTTCCTCAAAAAAGCAGTCGGCCAAAAAGAATCAGCAGGCCGACAGTTCTGATACAGATGATGCAGTCGTCTACACCATTGCAGGCGGCTTCTCAGGAGGCGGCCCCACTATTAGGGGCAACAAAGATAATATAAGGCGGTTAGATGTAAATTCCGTTCACCAAGAACGACCGTCCAAATATACATTTCCTGAGATTGTCATCACTGAAGAGGATCTAGGAGGAATAAGGGGGCCGCATGACGACCCTCTCGTTATTGAATGTAAAGTGGCCAACCAGAGAGTTGGCCGAATCCTCATAGATACCGGGAGCTCTTCAGATCTCATCAGCAGCAAATGTCTATCAAAACTGAAATATCAGACGGACTGCATACATCCGGCCTCCCACCCTTTAATAGGGTTTGGGGAGGAGTCGTCCACCCACTGGGACGAGTAGATCTACCCATCCGCCTGGGCGAAAAAGGGGAAGGACGACACATGGTAGTCCGGTTCCTAGTGGTAGAGGAACTCTCTGCCTACAACATGATTCTGGGTCGACCAACCCTGAATAATTCCAAGGCTGTTATAATCCCGTCACTTATGCTGCTTAAGTTTGAAA